TTTGCTAGCTATTCTTCCTTCTTTCTGTTTCTCCTTGCAATCTTTTAAATTGCTTCCCTTTATGTCTGTTGCAGATGGCAACGGGCTGGCGCGGTGGAGTCGGCTTAATACTACTAATTCTTTTTCTATAATATAAATTTTTAAATAAAAACTTTAATTTCATTCATAAAATAATACTTTCTTCAATTCTTCTTCTCTTCCTCTTCCTCATCGCGAGCGATAAGCGTGGGGTGGGGCCCGTGCGCAACGGCGGCGAACGCGGCGAGCGCGAACGTGGCGGCGGCGGCGGCGAACGCGAGCGGCGGCGGCGGCGGCGGCGGCAAGCGCGAGCGCGAGCGCGAGCGCGAACGCGAGCGCGGTTCCCCTTTCCCCGCGGATCCCGCATCTACGACGCGGTTCCTTCTTCCCCGCGGACCCCGCATCTACGACGCGGTTCCCCCGTCCCCGCGCATCCCGCATCAGCAACGCGGTTCCCCCGTCCCCGCGCATCCCGCACCCGCAACGCGGTTCCCCCGTCCCCGCGCATCCCGCACCCGCAACGCGGTTCCCCCGTCCCCGCGCATCCCGCACCGGCAACGCGGTTCCCCCGCCCCGCGCATCCCGCACCGGCAACGCGGTTCCCCCGCCCCCGCAGACCCCGGACCCACGACGCGGTTCCCCTCTCCCCGCGCATCCCGCACCACGCGGTTAGGCCAGCTGATCGAGTGGCTTTCCGCGGCTTCTCCTTCCCCGCGGACCCCGCATCAGACCGTGAACGTTCTGAGCGGTTTCCCCCTCCCCGCGGCTTCCCCGCGGACCCCCCGCGGACCCCCCTGCCACTCACCCCTCTCGGAGCTCCCTAGTTAGAACCCGCCTTATACATCTACTGTCGACTCAAGAATGTTCTGGCGTACGAGTACTTTTGGGCCGAGCAGGTCGTCGAGAAGCTCGATTCCGGGACCAATCTGCGCATCGAGATTCCCACGGCTCTTGGCGAGGGGTGCGTCGAGTTGGTGACGATGGACTCGCGCACCTACGACGAGTGGAGGTATCCACCTGCCGTGCGACGGCTGCTCGACGAGCACAGGCGGGGCGACGTGCGTCCGACGACAGCGACGACGAACGACGACGACGTCGTCCTCTGCGACGTCTGCAACGTCCTTCGAGAGGAGTGCGCGTATCGGGAAGACGAGGTGGAGGAGTACGCGGTTCAAAACACGGAAGGATCGTGCGCGCGGTGCCGCCGAGTCGCGTGCAAGTGTTCCGACGCGGTGTAGAGAAACGGACCGCTTTCTCTATCTTTTCCACGCGGTTGGGGGTAACATTAATAATAATAATAACGTAAACGTGAAAAACGAGACGCGGCGAGCGCTACCCAACCGTGTCTACTCTCGACCGAGCTTCTTTTTCACTCTGGACATTTCCGCGCGTCGCGACGGAGGAGGAAAACAAACCGCCTCTCGGCGGGCTTCGCTTGGTCGCGAGACGACGCCGCGAGCGGGATGGCACGCCGCCCCCGCCTCGCGAAAACGCGCGATCGCCTGTCGAAGCGGAACTCTTCCGCGACGCTCGCCCGACGCGAGAGAAAGAGCGAGAACGTACGCGATAAATAAAACGTGAAACGCGACGAAACGCGAACGACGATGGAACCGTGCCTCCTTTCGAAGAGATCTCTTCACGACGACGCGTCTTTCTATTTCAAACGCTATCAAACCCCTCGTAGCGTATAAAGCGAGCACGTTCCGTAAGTCGCGTGCGTAAAGAAACATCGCGAGACATGATCGACGAGACAGCGAGCGACGTCGTTCGCGGCGACGACGAGCGCCTGGTGTCGCCGGTGCGGTTTCTGCGCGACTGAGAGCTGGGTGTGCGCGGCGCGGCGAGACGGGGAGTCGCGGTCCGACGAGATTCCGTGAGCACGTGGCCTCGCGGCGCGAGACGAAGGGTGTACGCGTGGTTTCGCGAGAAGGCGTACGACGAATACGAGAGGTGGTTCGGGCACGAACGTTGGAAGGAGGTGAGACATCGATACATGGACGTTCTGAGTCGACAAGGCACACAGGGGATA